ATAATCTCTTTTATCTTTCCCATAAATCTTGATTCCTCAAAAGAGAATTTCAATTCTTGAAGCCTATGAGTCATTGGGACAAATTGCTCTGACCCTAATTATCGATGAACTAGTGTCGAAGCATAGCTTATACCTCCATACGGTCTTAAAAGTGGCACCCATGGCTTGTCACCACACTTGTATAACATGGCTTCTCGTGGCATCCATGAAGCTTTCCACATAACTTGAGCACTAGTGAGATTTTGCAAAGTCAATACCCATTTTTCCTTAGTCTTTGATTTTGGCCACTCAACATTGCAGCATTCTTCAATTGGCCTACTTTTATTACTTTAAGTAGGATCCACAGGATATTAAAGATGACTTTTTTTACCCAAATATAGAGTAACTGTACACATCCTATAAAGCATTATCCTCTTTTTCGACAATGATTTAATGATCTAAAGTTTTCTGCTAGTATAAAAATAACATGATTGATTTTATTATCCACACGCTCAAGAAAGTCAATCACTGATATCTCAATGTGCCTCAAGACCTTTAAAAATATGATCAAGCCATAAATTGCCAAAGCTATCATTCTCATGCCTCGTTCGTCCTCTAAGTGTTTAATGATGTAACCACATAAGATTTCCCACGAGATGCAATCATTTTTTCCTTTTGTTTGGATTATGAGTTCACATTCGAAGTGAGAACCTCCATCATACAGGTAAGTTTCTTTTGAGATCCAAGTTTTTGACCTCGTTAATAGATTTTATTTGGATTGGAGAGATGCAACCATAACAACTTAGTATACTCTTTGGTCGTCGGGGTCATATCTATTTCATTGAATATGAAACATCTGTATACAGGGTCTCAAAATTAAATTAAAGCTTTTATCAACTGATTTTTCATAGACACCTCAAGCAGTGAAGCAATATGACCATATTTTTCTTCGAAAGCCATATTCCTAGAAGTTGTTACACGGCGCCAGATCTCGACCAACTCAGAGATGTCATTTTGTTGAAGTCCCAATTTGATTTCTTCGGGAAAAATTTCTTGTTCAAATTCTTTCAAACAATCTCCTATTCTACTTTAGGCTTTTAATAATAGAGTTATCACCACAGTGGTCTTTTTACACATGGTGGGCTTTGAAGCTGAGAACATCATGATGGTGTTTTCAAAGTAAGATTGAAAATCTTCTTACTTATATTGGCATATTGATAAGCACATCCCATATGTAAGTGTTTATAATGATGCATGATCATGAAACAAAAGAAGAGCAAAACTAAATAAGGTTAGTAATCATCTTAAAATAAATATTCACTCATGTGTCATAATTTAGGGTATAATCTACAAAAATGGTATGGCCCTATCTAAGGTTGGTTTCTTAAGTTTCACTATATGCATGGTTTAGTAATTAACACAGGCTAAAAAGGTTCTCAAATTTATCCTCACTGTCATTCACTCTGAACTAGTAAGGCCTTCGATTTTCACCCATAACGGGCTGTCGACGGAAAGGGTTCAACTTGAGTGAAAATATTCGCTAGCCCAAGCGTAGGTACTCTACTCCCTCATAAAAAGGGATAGATTTGAGAGCCCGAGTATAGAGCTCGTGCATTAATGCAAATGTGCACGCATGTGATGGAATGTAACAAATAAAATTAACAATATAATTAGCAATAATATAAAATAATAACATATTACAACCAAATGAAAAAAAATTTAATATTCGAAGATGAGATAAGAAATTAAAATTAAATATCGAAAAGACCATGAAATCAAATTTTGGATGACGCATGTTTAATATTTGGCTTGACTCTCAAGTGTCCCCAGCAGAATCGTTAAGCTATTATAATGATTTTTCGTCTGGGGGGACTCGATCGCTAGACTTTGTGAAATTTTGGGAATCGCTTCCAATCTTTTTATAGGGTGTGATTGGTCACATAAAATATCATCTTTTAGTAAAAAATTTTAAAATTAATTAAAACTTACTAAAAGAAGTTTAGGTCTACATAATCAGGACTAAGTCTAGAAGTACCGTTACGAGTGAAAAATGTATTAGCACTCTCACGTCGTCCGTTCGAAGAACGATACCATTTAAACATACATAATTCTATAATTTTGATAATGAGGTCTTTTTTTATTTAAGTTTAATTTCCTAAAATTTATTTTAAAATATTTTTCTCTATTATAAAATTAACATTATTATTATTATTCCGTATTCTATAAATTCTCCAACGCTTTGGTGAAATTTATAGAAAATCATTATTTAAAAAATATTTTGAGAAAATTGACCATTCACAAAATTCTCGAAACTTCATCATAAAATATTTTAATTATTTATTTTAAAATGGATTTTAAGAACATCCCAACTTTTTTGTGAGTTCCCAAAATTTTGAACAAATTTTAAGATTATCCCGACTCTTCAGTGAAATCTAAATATTATAGTTATTTTAAAATTTTGTATTATTTATTATTTTTTATTTTTTTATAAAAAAAATTAGATTATCCCGACTCACCGGTGAAATCTAAATATTAATCTCTTATTTATATTGAAGAAAATTGAACTCTTTCAATTTTTTATATTTTTAAATATTCAAAATATCAATTATTATTATTTTCATTTTTTATTAATTTTTTATTATTGTTTTATTTTGTTTAAATCAATATTTATTCTAGCAAAAATAATTTTGGATTATCCCAACTCCATGGTGAAATCCAAAAAATTATTTTTACTTGCAATAATTAAAAAAAATTAAACTCCTTTAGCTTTCTCTAAAAATTACATTTAAAAGATTAATTTAAACAATTTATTTTTTTATTTTATTTATCATTTTTTTATAATTTTTGTTAGCAAAAATTATTATTTTTTAAATTATTCCAATACTTCGGTGAAATTTAAATAATATTTTTGCTTATAATAAAATTGATTTCCATTAAATAATAATAATTATTAAAATTTTTTATTTATATTTTTTTAGGTCTTTATTTTATTTTAGTTTCATTTTTTATTCTATTTATTTATTTATTTTTTTAAAATTATTACCAGTAATAATATAAAATAACAATAATAATAATAATAATAACAATAAAAAAATATAAAAATCAACATAAAAAATAAAAATCAAAATCAAAATGAAAAATAAAAAGAAAAAGAAAAGAAAAAAAACATGCGAAATGGGTCGGGTCAACATGCGGATCCTACGCGGGTCAGGTTCAATCCAGACGTTTAAAACGACGTCGTTTTGAAGGGCCTATAAAAGGCCTGTTTCAGGTTTTTTTCTTTATTTTCTCCTTTTTTCTTTCTCTCTTTACCCAGAGCTTCTTTTTTTAAAAAACTCAGTCCCTATGTTGATCGCTGTGGAACTCAATTTTTTGTTTGTTGCCGTCGTGCACCGATAGTTGAAAACTTCAACGGTGCCTAAAAAATTCAAAGATCCCTAAATTTTGGTGGCCAAAAAATTCAACGATCACCAAAAAATTTAAACTTTTCCATATTTCGGTACTGAAAAATTCAAACTTTTTCAATTTTCAGTGATCAAAAAATTTTTTAAAAAATTTTCAAAAATTCCCCCAACGATCCTCTTAGCTTTTTAAACACTTTTTCAAGCCAAAATTTTTCAAAAAAAAAATCTCAAACTTCCTAGATCTCAAATTTTATTCTCGAGATTTTTTTTTTGAAATTTTTTTTTTTGTTTTCTGCTGGTTCCTCAAAGAGGAATGTGATTTGTTTGTTTATGCAGAATCCTTAGATTTTCTCCCTTGTTCTCTCTCTGTTTGATTTGCAAAATTTGGCTTTATTTATAGAGCCTTTAAGATTTAAATTTCAGATCTCTTGAGATCTTTTTTGTAAAAAATTTAGATCATGTTCAGTGACTTTTGGTCACCAGATGTCAGACTGCTAAGTTAGGTAGTGTCAAAAGAAAAAATGTTATTATGACAGCTTGATTTCAGCTGTCAGAGTTGAAATCAAATATTTTTATTTTATTTATTTTAAATTAGTAATATCAATATTAATATTAAACTATATAAAAAAATAATTAGTCAAAATTGGTATTCACATTTATAAACCTGTCACAAGCAAAAATCCTATCTAAATTTGATCTAAAAACAAAATTTTGGTAATTAAGTATACATATATAAGACATATCTCTCAACGTAATTTTTAATGAACAATTATGTCTTTTAGTTTAAAAGTTATTTTCTCACTATTTCAAAAAGTAATGATAAAAATATTTATTTTTATTATTAATAATGTATTGATATACATTAATGATATTTTATTTTTTTCTGATATCATATCTCATATATAATTATTAAATAAATTCTAACAAATTGTTCAATACTATGAGATAATATTTAAAAAAATGATCGTTAGTGTCTTAAAAATTAATTTATTAGGTATGCATTTAAAAGGGCAAAGCGGTCTTAATTGCTTATAGGGGTTGGGCCGTAGGTAGGGCGATGGTTTCCTTTCCCATGTCTGCACTTTGCGTGGTCCCTTTTTCGGATTCCTATCCTTGACTTTGACAGTAACTTTCAATCCACTCAAGTTAATAAGAATGATGAATGGTTGACGTTAGAAGCTGACACGATTAGGCCTTAATCAAGGAGGGGAAGGGGCATATTTGACCTTCCGAATTGGGTTGAGCAATTTGGAGCACGAGGCCTGTTCTTTCATCAACTAACCACCTTGGAATCTGTAATGGATCCAAATGTTGTTATTCCTTGATGGGCTTAATGGGCTTCATGGCTCAATAATGCTACAGCCTAATTGGTATTCCTTTTGTTTTTTGGATTGAGTCCGGAAGAAAGACGGTGAAGCAAGGGCAGTCTTGGAATACCAAAACTTCGTATGTTCTGACCGATTAATTTTTGCCATTTATTAATTTACTCTTTTATATATCAAAACCGAAAGCCCTAATTCCCCCGAAAAACCTAAAAGCGGAAGCAGCTGCTGCTACTGTTAGGGCCTCTCTCTTTCCTTCTCTACGCGACTAACCGGGTTCAGGCTTCAGATCTCTCTCTCTATTTTACCCTTCCTTTTCTAAATACAATTAGGAACTGAAATTTATTTTACCTTCAATTTTTGTTGTTAATTTTTTACTAGAGAATATCTGTATATCCATACGGTCTCCTTTCTTTTCTATTTTTTTTCAATTTTGATTTAATTTCTCTGTTTCTTTTCTTTCTTACAACTTTTTTTTTTTTTGTTTTTTAATTTTGGTGTTGAACTGAAACTTGAATAACGTAAGAATTATTTGATAGGTTTCTTTTGAATCCAAAAGAAAATGTCTCGTGTGTACGTGGGTAACCTTGACCCACGAGTTTCGGAGCGGGATCTTGAAGATGAGTTTCGTGTCTTTGGAGTTATTCGAAGGTATAATATTGGTTGTTGTGCCTTAAATTTTGCCTTCTTTTGAACTGCTACATGATACACGATAATTGTCTGTAATATGCAGCTTTTAAGCATTGTTTTATTGTTGTTATTCCGTCTAATGTTGTCTTTTTTATTTGATAAATGTTTTTTTTTTTTTTTCAGTGTATGGGTTGCTCGAAGGCCGCCAGGTTATGCTTTCATTGACTTTGATGATCACAGAGATGCTGAAGATGCAATTCGTGAATTAGATGGTATTCCAACTATATCCTCTTATGTCTGATAATGACACTAGTTGATTCCTTAATGGTCTTTCTGGTTAGTTGTGATTCCTTTCTCATTGGAAATGAAAGATGCCAAATTGGCCCTTTTTGTTAAAAAAAAATGGATAACGCCTTGGTTAGGAACTAGCACATAGTTATCAGACTACTCTTTCTTTATTAATTAGAAAGATTTATAATGAAAATCATGATTTTGGTATGCCTCTTTTGGTTTCCTACTTCTGCAGATGAGCTTTATGAAAAATGTACTTTTGCACTGTCTACAGCTACATTTAGACAATTGTGGAGGAAGTTTGTGTACGCTGTTTGATCACAATTGTGCTACAAGTTATTTCCATAATTGTTAGTAACATGTGTCAAAACAAGGGACCCTCTATTTTTAATTTACTTGCTCGTTATTTTATAATCCTGTACAGTCTGTTTTTGTTTTTTGACATTTTTCCTGTTTAGTTTTTTTATGTTAGTTCAAAAATCTGTAAAACATGATGGCAGGGTCATAGTCTTTGCCTCTTTCGCCCATCTAAACAGGAAGCTTCTAATTTCTTTTTCTTAATGGCATCTTTAATAAGCATAGGTTATCATTTGAAATTCACATCCTTTACCAGCTTTATGAGTCATGTATTTGGATCAGGCAAGAATGGCTGGAGAGTTGAGCTTTCACATAACTCTAGAGGCAGAGGTGGACGTGGAGGTGGAGGTGGAGGTGGAGGTGGTCGGGGACGTTCTGGCGGTTCTGATTTGAAGTGCTATGAGTGTGGCGAGCCTGGTCATTTTGCTCGAGAATGTCGCATGCGTGGTGGTTCAGGAAGACGTCGCAGCCGCAGCCCTAGATACCGTAGGAGCCCAAGCTATGGACGCAGGTAAGGCCTCCTAAGCCAAAATTGTCTTATCTTTATGATTGTTGAACTCTTTATATGATTGGATGACACTTGCCAATTTGAAGCAGAAGTTACAGTCCTCGTGGACGATCTCCAAGGCGTCGCAGTCTATCTCCTCGTGGGCGTAGCTACAGCAAGTCTCCACCATACCGTGGTCGTGAGGAATTGCCATATGCTAATGGGTGAAGTTTCCTGAACTTTATGCTAGTAGCTGGAAAGGCTTTTTTATTGCAATCTTTTTCACTGATAAATAAGCAAGTGCATCATGCTTAAAGCTGTGGTTATCTTAATTTAATTGTGTGGTGCGGTTTTGGATTATGGTATATAAGTCTGAAATATTGCTTCTGAATTTGGTGCAGAAATGGTGCAAGGGAACGCCGACAGAGCAGGAGCTAATTTCCACAAGTATGTAACTTCTATGTGAGGAGACTGGGATTTAGTGTGTTTAGTTTGTTTGGACTTCGGTGCTACTATTTTAAATTGGGCTATGCCCTCAGCCTCTCGGATTTGGATAAGTTCCTTTCTGTTTTTCTTTATTTCTATGATGGTTTTCTTTGCTTAATCTATGCTAAATAGCCCCTTTTTCTGCGTAGGGAAAGAGAAGCTTAAGATGACCTCTATAAATTTATTAAGAAATTATTCTATGAACTCTGCTAAAAAATTCATACTTTTCTTTTTGTGTTGAGGTGTCTTCTGGGTCTGCCTCATTGCTTTTCTGCTTCTACACTACTATGGGGTTTACTTCTTTGCTGCCCGGCTATGGGATCTTCAATACTTGATCATTTTGGGTCCCATTTGGCATCATCTCTTGTTGCTACTGTTTGAATGAACCTCCAGCTGTGATGCACCTTCCTCAAACTCTAGTGGCATTTCTTTACTTTAGCTTAAAAGGATTGAGGAGCTGCGTCAAATGCTTCTGGCAGGTACATATATCTGTTCTACAGAAGTTGATGTTTTGGGGTCCTTACAAGGGTGGGATTGGTAATTTACATATCTAATATATTTGCAACCTTTTAAAAGTGACAACAAAAGATTTAGAAAGATGCAAGGGTGTTTTACTTCTCTTCAACTTGTTTTTGGTCATTCAGCTTGACAAGCAAGAATAAATTTGGAGTCTCCTACTTCTAGTGGGTTGGAAAGTTGGGGTGCTGAACTCTCTTTTTTTTCCTAATGTCTGCATCCAGATCCTGATGATTATCGTGATAAAAAGAATCTGTTTTTTTCTTTGATCATTTGAGAAATTTCTTTCCTTTTTTCTTTTTTTTTTTCCTTGGTGGGTGGGAGGGGGGTTGTGGAGGGTGTCCTTGTGGTACATAATACGAGGGGTTTACCGGGATGGTTGGCTTTTAGCTGCAGAACTTCTTGATCTCTGAAATATCCCCGCAAGTAAATCATGATTCGCTCACCCGGCTAGATATTTGGGTCTCTTGGTAGGCTGCAAAACAAGCATAGGTGAAGTGAATTGCCAGTTCTCCTTGGTCTCAACTGGAGGATGTTTAACCTGCCAAAATTTGAAGCGTTCTGTGTTTGTGTGTTAACAGCACGAGCTTGTCTACCTGTTTATGGTTCTTGCTTAGGAAGATTAATCTTCGTTGGGCGTCTTTAGTCTTTTGGTTTGCTACAGGTGTGATGGTTATGTTGCTGGCACGTTCCGTCATGTCTTGGGTCCGTGGAATGTGTTTTACTCTGAAATAAGAGTAGGATAAGTTTTCCATATTACCATATTAGTTTTTCGGGGATTGGATCATATAGATTGGCAGGCCCCATACATTAATCTTTTTGAACACGGTAAAAAGTCCAACAAGTGAAATCTTGTTGAATTTAATAAAATTTTCTGATTTTTATTGTATGCAACATTGCAAATTGCAATGCATATGGTAATTGTCAAATGAGGGTACACTTTAATTTGTTCCCGGTGATTTTTTTTTTTCGAAGTTTTCCATACATCGTTGGAAGGATGATTGCAATGTTCATAGTCAACCAAGGGTCGCCTCTAAATTTAATCTCCAATGAATTGGATCTGATGACAAGTGGTAAAACTTATGATACGTTAGAAAAAAGTGTTGTGGGGGGTGTGTCAGCCTCCACTTGGTTAATGCTATGTGATTTTTCTTATGGATGCTGAAATTTTCAATTGCACCGAAGGCATTTTTCTCCATTATAGATAAGGGTGGGCTAGCTGTCCCTTTTTCTTTTTTTTTTTAACTTTTGATTCTTTCATTCTTAAACGATCGAAGTCCAAGAGATGAAACAAATTATTTACTTATTTAATCGTTAATATTCTCATTGTTTATATTTTTAACATCGTATTAATTCGTAACTCTTATAGTTTCTATGTTTTAAACTTATTTACTATCGTTAGTGAAGCCGGGAAAATACGAATATTAAATTTGAAGTGTTATTCTGAAAAACAGAAGTATATATCTTGGTATGGATGGCGGCCTATTATGTGTGTATGGTATTGGTACGAGCGTATTGGTGTCAGTATTCGTTAGAGAATTTATTATTAGGTCGGTAGAGAAAGAAAGTGATGTTGTAGCCAAATAAAAGCATCCCACTCTCGTTCCCAATTTCCCTCCCCAGGGATCTCACTGAGCCATACGTAAGCATTTTCGTCTATAACAAAATGACCTTCCTTTACCTTTGAATCCAGCCTGGTTGAACGTTTCCGTACTTATTATATGTAATAATAAGGCAAGTAAAATTCATTGTTACATAATTTTACGAAAACTTAGTATCTTTTTCATCCAATTTGCAAATATGTCATTCAATTTTAATTGGTTATTATAAAATCACTAAAATTTATAAAGTGTATTAAATTTGATTATTTTAACAAATTTTATCCAAAATAAAAATTAGATAAATTTTAAATATTAAATTCAACCAAACAATATGAAGATTTGTTATTGAACAAAAAATCAAACTTTAATAGTCTAATTAAAATAAATTAAAATTTAATTACCTGAATAAATTTGAGTACAAATTCAATGATTAAAGATGAAATTTACTCGAATATTTTGGCAGGCCTCCACCAATGTGGGTGCCATGAGGCAGTAACTGGTTGGACAACGGCCTCACAACCGTGGGACCAAAAACTACTGTTCTAAACTTGCAATAATGAATCGTGCCTGTCTCCTTAAAGGCTTAAGAAGAGAGTCACAGGAGCAAAGCATTATGCATCATCACTCACCCGTTCTTCAAACCACCGGAAATCAAAGTCATGGAAGCACTACACATCACAACACGAACTGCCTCAACGTGTTTTAAATTAGGTAGTACTATAAAAACGAAGAAAAAAAACAATTCCGCCGAATCTGCTAAAATATCTTCCTCTCTTGGTTGCCGCCTACAAAGTCTTGGCTTTCACGTCCTTTCGGATTGAATGCTTCCTTTCTTCCAAAGTTCATGACTTTGGATTTAAAATAAAACAATATTGTAAAAAAACAGTAAACTCACTTCACTGTGAGCTGTTTTTCATTTATTTTATTGCTACGTTTCTTTTTGTTGTTGTTATTGACGGGAAGTCAAAACACATAAGACAAGAGATACTCATCCCCCTACCCCTATTTGAGACTGCATCCCTCTTTCTCTCTTCTCTTTCTGTCCCCAAAATCTTGCATCTAATTACGTCAAGCTTCTTTTTCTTTTTATCAGTTGAGGAAAAAAAGAGCTTTTTTTGTTGGTATTTTACTATATTGGTCGATATTATCAACGAATAAAGATCCTTCTTTTTCTTTTTCTTCTTTTTTTTTTTCCTATAAGTAAGAAAGACTTTCTTAAAGATGGGATTTTCAGATACTTTTTGTTGCAGTGGAGCTGAACCCATTTCTCTGCCTATGCTTGTTTTTACTTTACTTATATGACAAAGATAACAAGGATGGAATCCAAAAAAGAGAAACTAGTGAGGTAATCTCGGCAACATCCCCTGTTTTTTATTTCATTTTTCTTGAAATTCCATCGATGGGACCTTTTTGAATTCTCAGGTTCAACAACAATGGCAGTACTCATCTAGAGAAGCCACTGCCAGTATACAAAGCAACAGCCCCTTGGTTGAAAACTGAAGGAGGTGTTAGTGATAGAAATGATAGTAGCACAATTCCCAAATTTGGAAAATTTAAGGTTTTTCCAGAGGATCATGAGCCATGGAGGGAGAGAATTCTAGATCCTAGTAGTGAAATTTTCTTGCAATGGAACAGGATTTTTCTCATCTGGTGCTTAGTAGCTCTATTTGTTGATCCATTGTTTTTCTACCTGCCTTCAGTAATCAACAAAGACACTACATCTTGTATGGATACTGATTTGAATTTAGGAATTGTTGTGACATGCTTCCGGACACTTGCTGATGCATTTTACATATTGCATATAATCATCAAGTTCCGGACAGCTTATGTGTCGCCTACCTCCAGAGTATTTGGGAGGGGTGAACTTGTCACTGACCCAGATATGATTGCCATGCGGTATTTGAAATCAGATTTCTTCATAGATCTAGTGGCTGCACTCCCTCTTCCTCAGGTACTTTCTCCGTAATTTTCCTTTACTGCTTTATAACGTTGGATTCATGTTCAATTAAATCAAATGGTTTTAATTGGGTTCTCCTATAATTAAACGAAGGCCTTTGAGGTCAAAGACTGCAAGTGATTATTAATGGTCATCTTGTTTCTGTGAGGCTGTCTTAAATAGAACTCAAAGATTGAAAGTACAATTTGAAATCATGTAAAGCAGATGAGATTAATGTAAATGCTGCAAGCAGCAGCTGAGAAATTTGATAAGGTTTTATTTTTCTTTCAAAGATTCAATGTTTAGTCTTGAATTTTGATAAATGAAGAAAAACTGGTACAGGTTTTTTTTTTTTTTTTTTTTGTTTAAGAAAATATGTTTAGGAGACTGTCATGTGCTCAAGCTAAACAGATTAACATCAGTTTATTACTTTTCCATTTTTTGGCAGATGGTGATATGGTTCATTATACCAGCAATTAGAAGCTCCCATGCTGATCATACAAATAATGCACTCGTGTTGATTGTTCTGCTCCAGTATGTTCCCCGATTGTATTTGATCTTCCCTTTAAGCTCTCAGATTATCAAAGCCAATGGAGTTGTCACAAAGACTGCCTGGGCTGGGGCTGCATACAATCTCTTACTTTACATGTTAGCTAGCCATGTATGTAATAGTTTCTTACTTGAATTTCGTTTGTTATCAGTCAGCGGCTACCATTGTTTCCCATTTTTTATCGTATCTTGCCAACTTTATATAGACATACAAATAATTCAGTTTCATTTCTTGTAGGTATTAGGGGCATCATGGTATTTACTGTCAATTGAACGACATGCAACATGTTGGAAATCTGAATGCAGAAAGGAGACTGGCCCTCTGATATGCAATCCTCATTACCTTGACTGTGGCACATTGAATGATGTTGGACGCCATAAATGGGAAAACAGTACTGTCGTGTTCAGCAACTGTGATCCCAACAATAATATTAGTTTTGACTATGGGATTTTTGAAATTGCTTTGACAAAGCAAGTATTCTCCTCAGGCTTCCTTAAAAAATATTTATATTGTCTATGGTGGGGTTTGCAGAATTTGAGGTATGCGTCATGAACATTTATACAACAGGAATACCTTTATACCTTTATTTCTGCTATAAAGGTTTATGTAATATTTAATTGTATTTATGTTGATAATTCTACGTTCCATTTTTTTACTATGAAATAAAGTGATATTTCCTGATTTATTTGGATAACCAGTAAAAAGATTACATTGTCAACTAACTTAATTATGGAAAATTTTGATGTGTAACTCTGCTTTCTGAATTTTCAGCTCCTATGGACAGTCATTAAACACAAGCACATTTATGGGGGAAACCTTGTTTGCCATACTGATTGCCATCTTGGGTCTGGTTCTGTTTGCCCATTTAATTGGAAATATGCAGGTATTGCTGAAGCCCTGTATACAATTCTTGCTGCTTTTGACATTCTATTGATGTTTGTTTTCTTAATGGGTTGAACCTATGGTTTCCCTACTGTGGAAACTAAATGTATATTGAAAAACTGCATATATTGAATTATACAAGAATCTTAAGTTTATATACAACTAACTAGGGGTTAAACTAGGAAACTAAATCTTCCTTAATTCTAGGGATACAAATACTTAATTCTAGAGATACAAATATAAATATACAGATTACAAGATTACAATCAGCTGTAAATAAGTATTTTCCCACACTCCCCCTCAAGCTGGTGAATAGGTGTTTTCCATTCCCAGCTTGTAAATAATTCCTTGAAATGTTGCATTGCTGAGACCTTTAGTCAACACATCTGCAAGTTGACCCTTGGTTGATACATAAGGTGTACAAATCAACCCACTGTCTAGTTTCTCCTTTATGAAATGCCGGTCTACTTCAATGTGTTTTGTTCTGTCATGTTGTACAGGATTGTGTGCAATACTTATTGCAGACTTGTTATCACAGTAGAGTCTCATTGGTCCATCCCACTTGATCTTCAAGTCTTCTAAGATAATCTTTAACCATAGTAGTTCACAAATTCCTTGAGCCATTGCTCTGAACTCTGCTTCAGCACTTGATCTTGCCACCACATTCTGTTTTTTACTCCTCCAAGTCACAAGATTACCACCTAAGAAAGTACAGTAGCCTGAGGTGAATCTTTTATTCGTTACTGAACCTGCATAATTAGCATCTGTATATGCTTCTAGAACTAACCCCGAATTTCTTTTGAATAAGATACCTCTCCCAGGATTGGCCTTCAAATAGTGCAATATACGGTAGACAGCCTGTAGGTGCACTTCTTTAGGACTATGCATAAATTGACTTACCACACTCACAGCATATGCTATATCAGGTCTAGTATGTGAGAGATAAATGAGTCTTCCAACTAATCTTTGGTACATCTCTCTATTTACAGCAGCATCTTCATTAGCTTCTCCAATTTTATGATTAGGATCTATAGGGGTATTTGCAGGTTTACATGCAAGCTTCCCAGTTTCCTTCAGAAGATCCATCACATATTTCTGTTGTGAGATAAAAATACCATGCCGTGAGTGAGCTACTTCAATTCCTAGGAAGTACTTCAATCTCCCTAGCTCTTTTATCTCAAATTCTCTAGCCAAACACTGTTTTAGAGATTCTCTCTCTTTTTCATCATCTCCAGTTACAATTATATCATCAACATACACTAATAGAACTGTGACTTTCCCTGAATCAGAGTGCTTGATAAACAATGTTTGATCTCCTTGACTCTGTTTATATCCCATTGCTAGCATCACTTTGGCAAATCTCCCGAACCAAGCTCTAGGAGACTGTTTAAGGCCATATAAAGCCTTTTTTAGCCTGCATACTTTGTTTGCTTCTAAATGACCTCCAAATCCCGGTGGAACCTTCATATATATTTCTTCTTCCAAATCACCATGTAGAAAAGCATTCTTTACATCAAATTGTTGAAGCTGCCAATTGTAATTTGCAGCCAATGATAACAAAATCCTAACTGTATTCATCTTGGCAACTGGAGCAAAGGTTTCCTGGTAATCCACTCCATAGGTTTGAGTGTAGCCCTTAGCCACTAACCTGGCTTTATACCTTTCAACAGTACCATCTGCCTTGTATTTTACAGTGAAAACCCATTTACACCCCACTGAATTTTTTCCTTTAGGCAACTCTACCAGTTCCCATGTCTGATTTTTCTCTAAGGCCTCCATTTCTATTTTCATGGCTTGCCTCCATTTCTCATTGGATAATGCCTCGGATAATGTAGTTGGAACAGAAATAGTGTTTAGGCTCACAAGAAAATTTTTGTGGGATGGTGAGAATTTTTCAAATGACACAAAATTAGATATTGGGTATAGTGGATGCTTGGTACATTCTCTGGTTCCTTTCCTAATGGCAATAGGCAAATCATAATCACTAGTTATAGTTTTAGGAGATTCATGCTCATTTTGAGAAACAGAGTCAAAAACTGTAGTTACCTCATTTCCAGAGTTAGGATCAGGTTCTTGGACTAGCACTGGTTCAGGATCTGGAACTTTCCTTCTTGAGTACACCTGTAATTCCTTCATAGAATCAAGAACAATATTATCCTTTGTCACATCTTCCGTATTTGGAATGGGTTCAGACTCAAATTTAGTGTTTGACTTGGGCTCAGCAGAAACAGGTTTCGACTCAGAAGAATTAATGGGTGTTAATGTTGAAGAAGGAGGCAAATCAAGCAAAAAGAAGTCTTTATCCTTATTTTCCATGAATGAAGTCTCCCCCTGAAGATAAGGTTGAGTAAAAAATGGTTTATTTTCTTCAAAAGTGACATTTGCAGACACATAGAATTTTTTGGTAGGAGGATGATAGCACTTATATCCTTTTTGAGTTGAAGAATACCCCTTAAAAATACACTTAATCGCTCTTGGATCTAACTTTCCCCTGTTATGACTGTGAACATGAACAAATGATGTACAACCAAATATCCTAGGTGTGAGATTGTTTGTGGTATTGAGGTTGGGATAAAATTGTGAAAGTAATTCCATAGGAGTTTTAAATCCCAAAACTCTTGAAGGTAACCTATTTATAATGTGTGTGGCAGTGAGAACAGCTTCCCCCCAATAAGATTTAGGTACATTTGCTTGAAAAAGAAAGGCTCGGGTTGTGGCTAGTAAATGACTGTTTTTCCTCTCTGCCACTCCATTTTGCTGTGGAGTATTAACACAAGATGACTCATGGAATAATCCCCTCTTTTTGGAAATAGATGGATAGACTCTGGTTGAAGTAGTCTCTTGCATTATCAGACCTAAATCTCTTTATTCTCACTCCAAATTGAGTTTGGATCATGTTTTGGAAGCTTAAAAACACACTATTCACATCTGATTTGGATTTAAGTAAAAAAATTCAAGAGACTCTAGTACAATCATCTATGAATGAAACAAACCATCTCGCACCAGAAATATTAGGAATTGTAGAGGGACCCCAAATGTCACTATGAATCAAGTAAAAGGGAGTAGAACTTCTTTTGTTACTGATTGAAAAAGACACGTCTATGTTTTGCAAATTCACAAATATCACAATGAAAATCTTTAACATTTAATCCTTTGAACAAAGAAGGAAACATGTTTCTCAAGGTTCCAAAAGAAGGATGTCCAAGACGAAAATGATAAAGCCAAATTTTGTCTTTATTGGAAGATTTTTCAGAAAGAAATGACAAAGGTAAACTATTTTTGATACTACTTGTGTTATTTGATGTCTTAAGATAGTATAGTCCATCCTTCTCCTTAGCAAGTCCAATCATCTTTCCCGAACTCTGGTCCTGAAATTCACAATAAGAGGGATAAAAAGTTACTTTGCAATTCATATCTCTGGTAAGTTTTTGTATAGATATCAGATTAATAGACAATCCGGGAACATGAAGAACATTTTTTAGAACAAACGATGGATTAACTTGAACATCTCCTAATCCTGCCACTGTGGTAAGTGAACCATCAGCAACAACAATTTTCTTATTACTAGGACACAGGTTATATGTACTAAACTTTTGTGAGGAATGTGTCATGTGGTCTGTGGCTCCTGAGTCAATGACCCAAGAACTCGTAATAGGCTTAGCCGAGACATTTAATCCATGAGAACCAGAAGCTTTACCTGAACTAGAAACTTTACCCAAAGAACATACCATAGTAGGCTTTTCAAGGATTTTCAATAAGTTTCTCAGCTTTTCAATCTCTTCCCTGTTGAACTCTCCTTGTTTCCTGAGACATCTGAAGTACTCTAGTGATTTTCCCAGTTAACATTTTCTCAAATTGGGTGGTAGTGATATCTTTCTTTGAAAGGGTTCGGCAATGAAGGCCTAAACAGGATTCGACAATGAAGGCCTAAAAAAGTCAGCAATGAAGGCTGGAAATTTTACTTCCCAAGAAGAGCCTAAAGCTCTGATACCATGTGGAAACTAAATGTATATTGAAAAACTGCTTATATTGAATTATACAAGAATCTTAAGTTTATATACAACTAACTAGGGGTTAAACTAGGAAACTAAATCTTCCTTAATTCTAGGGATACAAATACTTAATTCTAGAGATACAAATATAAATATACAGATTACAAGATTACAATCAGCTGTAAATAAGTATTTTCTCACACCTACCATTAGACCTATAATCGTGTTTAGAAGTTTTCTTTCATAGGATTAGAATGCATTACCTCTGGTAAGCTTATTTTCATATCTCCTGATTTTTTTTAAAGGCACGTCTCCTGATGCTTTACCTGTTTTAAATTATAGCAGAAACTGTGTGCTCTCAGTGGCAATAAGGATTCTCAACTTCTTATAACTTGCTTAGGTTCTGATTATAAATTCATTACATCCTCATGACAGAGCTCTGATCATGCTTTCAAATTCTTGAACTGAAATCTATCTGATGTAATTTATTAACATCAAATGGGGAATAGCAGTAAGAATTTTCATGTTTTAATTTTATAACTTGCTTAGGCCTTGATCATTAACTCATTTAAATCTGCATGACACAGCTATCTGCATTCAAATTTCTAAACTGAAATATACCTGATGTAATGAATAGTATCAAATAAGAAATAGCAATATGGATTTTCTGACTTCTTATGACTTGTGTAGGCCTTGACCGTATATTCAATAACTATGTTGCTATGGTTTGCAGACCTACCTACAATCTATCACTGTAAGACTGGAGGAGTGGAGGCTCAAGCGGCGAGACACTGAGGAGTGGATGAGACATCGCCAACTCCCTCAAGATCTGCGAGAACGTGTTCAGCGTTTTGTTCAGTACAAGTGGTTTGCAACTCGAGGTGTGGATGAAGAATCAATCTTACGAGCCTTACCTCCAGATCTCCGTCGAGATATCCAATGTCATCTATGCTTGGACCTTGTCCGGCGTGTAAGTTTTTCTTGCACTGTCAGTTAGATTTAGTCCTATAGTTCTTACTACCCGCATGTTCTTCTTCCCTATATATTCCTTTGTTAATTGTAAATATAAAATATTAAGGTTGAGCCTCCTATCAATTCATCGAAAAATACCCTTTTAATTTTGTGTAGAAATGTTTGTGTCCAGAGCTGCAAATTTTGCATCTACATGCCAGATGGAATACAGAAATTAGTTGTTTTGCCATTTGTTGCCAGAGTCAAAGTGTCTTCTTCTAGCTGATATAATTAAATACCTTGTGAACTAATTTCTCAATGTTTCCTCAAGAGAGAATGCTAGAAGTAGCTGCCGGTCAAAAGCTGGGTGCAGGCTACACCGTTTCTGTTACCTTAGGAGGTTATCCTCAGTTGTTTTAGTTCCATGCTTTCATGTTGATTGATGCTCACTCGGGCATGCATCTTAATGGCATGCAATAAGAGAGTTAAAAGCAATTTTTTTCAGTTAAATGCATCATAATATTCCAAATATTATTTTCCACTAATCAGACCGAGACTTTATTGCAATTTCAGGTCCCCTTTTTCTCACAGATGGATGATCAGCTACTAGATGCCATATGTGAGCGCTTAGTGTCCTCCTTAAGTACTCAAGGAACCTACATAGTTCGAGAAGGTGACCCTGTCACAGAGATGCTTTTTATAATCAGAGGGAGGCTAGAGAGTTCAACTACAAATGGAGGCCGGACAGGTTTCTTCAATTCAATTAATCTGAGACCAGGTGACTTTTGTGGTGAGGAGCTACTTTCATGGGCACTGCTTCCAAAATCTTCTGTGAACTTGCCTTCCTCCACAAGAACAGTAAGAGCTCTGGTTGAAGTTGAAGCCTTTGCATTAAGAGCAGAAGATCTCAAATTCGTGGCCAATCAGTTTCGACGTCTTCATAGCAAAAAGCTGCAACACACCTTTCGTTATCATTCCTACCATTGGAGGACATGGGGTGCCTGCTTCATTCAAGCAGCTTGGCGTCGACACACGAAGAGAAGGATGGCCAGGAACCTTAGCATGATGGAATCCTTCTCATATACTCCTGACGAGCAAGTTGCTGATGAAACGGAACGAGAGGAAAAACAGACTCTTGCATCTTCAAATTCTTCCCAAGTAAAACAGAATTTAGGTGTCACAATACTAGCTTCAAGGTTTGCAGCAAATACACGGCGAGGAGCTCAGAGGATGAAGGCTGTTGAAATGCCCAAGTTGCAAAAGCCCGAAGAGCCAGATTTCTCAGCAGAGCCAGATGATGAGTAGTTTTCCAACCCTTATCTGTAATGGTAGTTGATGGAAAATCCCCATTGCATATGGTTGAACATACATGGCTCATAATAGTTGAAAAGCCCGTTGGAGGAAGCAACTGGTCTATGTGAAGTACGACGAGTGTTATGTTTTTTAGCCTACAGTCTTTATGTAACACAATTGTTCTAACAAGTCATTATGTAGTACAATTTAAATGTCATAATACTACCATCAGCAATTTCAAACAGGGAAAGTTAATATATGATAGAATTCAAAAGTTTAGCAGGCTTTTTTGGCCATGATTCCTTTGCAGCCTTAACTTTTTCTTCATTGCCAGCAAATTTATCGCAGGGATGAGCGGATTTTCCTTAATCTGTTGATGCTATTCAATCAGGTAATTGCACCCCTTGCCTGATCAAACTAGAGAAACGTCTTGGAAGGTCTCATGTTATAGACAATGATTGAAGTGTAATAATGGATGCAAATTTTACCATTAATTGAGCTCATAACTATTAGGATGAATATGGAAGGCAACCAGTTTGACAGTATAAATTTCCATTTCAAAATCGAACATATTATTTTGATGGATTTAAACTAATTAAGAAAAAAAAAATGCCATTAGTGTGATTAACAACTACCACATGGCTGCTTCCCCAAAATGTTGAGTGATCTTGCCCTCAAACACAAACCCTTGGCGTGGCCTGCCTTGTCCAAAAATAAAATCAGATGAACGGTAGCGCTACAACAAAGTTGCTAGGGGCCTTTTTATATCAGAAAATCTTATTGGAGTGGACCATGAAAGAAAAGTCAAAGAAAGGATCACTTTTGTCTCAAGCTCCTGGGAACACAACTCATTACCACAGCATTTGCAAAGAACCAGAATCAGCATCTGCCCACTGAAGATCTCCTGGCCCCAGCCATGTCAACCTTTCAATGGGAATGTGACATGCACATGAACTTAAAAACCGCCGCCACCGCACCGGTCCACCACGTTTAGTTCATCTCCTTTACTTGCCGACACTTAACATCATTGAATCACATTCACACAAGTGCATCGTGTGCACACGCCAAATATGAACAAATTTTAACCTAGAGGCAACAAACATTTAGAAGAAGAGGGCAATTATTTGTTATATTAGACAGAACACAATGCAAAAGATGGATGTTTTACATATCGTAAATTTGGGATCTGAGAGCCAGAAAGGCATCAAGCAAGCCCATTCTTTTGCCGTACTCAAGCTTTCGAACTTTACAAATACAATATGACTTGAATCTTTAGTGCCAAACCACACCCAAGCAAGAATCAGGGTGAAGTATGAAAAGTGAAATACAAATCCTACCTATAACAACAAACAATGGTTCGACGCCTAAGGAGGAATAGAATGACCACTCTCCAATGTGAAAAAATAAAGATATAAATTGTAAATAAAAACTGACGACAGAAAGTAGAGTTATTGATGAATAAAACCTGTTACTGGGCATCTCAAAGCTGATATAGAAATTGAAACTTTGGTTATTGAACTGGATGGTACCCTTTACCATTTGCCGAGGAAAAAAAATAAACTGCACAGCCAAAAACCAGCTTTTGTCAGTGGAAAGGAAGAATGTTGGCTGAGTTTAGGCAACTTATGCTTTTCTCAAGCTTCCCATGCAGCATTAGCTCATCTGCTCTCCAATTAAATCTAGACCGACTAGGAGAAAAGTCACCCCTTGGAAGAGGAGGAAGTAGAAATGCACTCCTTGTGCCGATAACAGGCTCCTTACCGAAGCTGTGAGTAGGAGGAATGCCAGAGCGAGTTCTTTCCTGTATATCTTATTGACCCTCTTAACAGTTGTAGGAGCCGCCTCTCTTTGTTCCTTTAATCGGTTTAATTCAGTATGCTCACTTTCTGAAGCTCCTCTCTGGATTTGCAGCTGGTTTGTTGTCTTTGATTCCCTCTCAGCAGCAGCCAGTAAGTCAGATTCTGATAACCTCCCAGCCTTCTTGGTGACAACCCACTCGTAGGAGCTACCCAGCTTGAATAATCCAGATACCATTGCATTGAATTTGGTCACAGACATGGTGTTCTCAAATAGAAGGTAAGGAACAATGAAAGGGAATGATTTGGGGGCTGGAAGAATGTTGAGGAATGACATAAAAACAGGTACATAACAAATCACCCAAACAGGAAGCTCAGCCTCTGGTATGAACATGGTTAGAGGAAGAATTACGCAAAACAATGTGAAGGAATAGAAGGGAAGGATAAGTTTCCTCAATAAAAAGAATAGCAGTATTAAATTTGCTTTCTTCCATGTTGCTATCTGCAGAATTACAGCATTAAAGGTACTTCAGTATACTGTAAATAAACCATAACCGCCAAAGATTGGAAGTTGTGTAACACTGTACCTTGGAAGTTATGATTGCTGGAATGCATAAGCGGAAGAGGTGCATAGGGCCTGAATGCCATCGATGTTGTTGCTTCCTGTATGCTTCATAAGACTCTGGGACTTCACAAAGGACCTAAAAATTTTACATGGTAACTGGCTATTGTCAGGACATTCCTGATTGTTCCATCACAAAATCTTTAACTATATACCTTCGTTTTCATTTCATTTTTCACCAGGGGGTTATGCGCTTAATTTCGATCACTTGTAGCTAAGATTCTTTAACTGAAATTTTTACTGATAAACAGACTGATCCATATTAACTAAGTGCAACATATAGTTTAAATCATGTATGTATCTTACTTTTGATCTACATTAAATCAGTAATCAGTTTTGCCAAATTGGTGGAAGTATGACAAGCAATGGTGAAAATAAGAAGACAGAAAATTAAATGAAAGTCAATTCAAGCAAAAGGAAATTAAAATAGCATAAAATGAAGGTACCTTTACATCATTAAGGAAGATGAATTTCCAACCATTGAGATGTGCACGAACAGCTATGTCCATGTCCTCTACAGTTGTTCTTTCAAGCCAGCCTCCAGATTCCTCAAGAGCTTTAATTCTCCAAACACCAGCAGTTCCATTAAAACCAAAGAAATTCAAAAATACACCATTAACTTGCTGTTCAACTTCAAAGTGGAAACATAAATTAATGTTCTGGAGACGAGTCAACAAATTCTCATCCTTGTTCACAAAAGTCCATCTAGCCTGAACTAACCCTAACTCAGGATTGTCCTGCAAATCAAGGGAGACATACAAGGTAAGAGCCTGATAAGCTGATCATAGGCAAGGAACCTACCAAAATGATTCTGGTTTGTTTCTCTTCACCTTGAAATGTGGCACTGTTTGCTTTAGAAAATCTGGATTAGGTTGGAAATCAGCATCAAATATTGCTACAAACTCATAGGCCTGTACATACTCGCAGCTCATTGCAGACTTCAGATTCCCAGCCTTGTAACCAGTTCTTACTAAGCGATGATGATAAATTATATTGATACCCCTTTGGTTCCATGTAGCAACCTCCGCTTTAATTAAACACTGGATGCTTTCATCATCAGAATCATCAAGAACCTGAATCAATAATCGATCCTTTGGCCAATCAAGTTGGCAGACAGCAAAGATAGACTGCCCGTATACCTGTGTGAGGTCAATGAAGAAAGCTATCAACATCAGGAAAAATCAACACAATATGCCTAATATTACTAGATTCCACTCTTGGATGTCCTTGGCTGCTATCTAAGTATTATCTATCACAAGGACCTTTTTTACTATCCTATTTGTAACATAGGCTAAAATAATAGTTAGGAGAATTGCAACATAATTTCGTCAAAATTCTTTTTACAATAGCTGTTCAATAATTCTCGTACCAACGACAAAAGTATTTAACTTACATCCATTGATATTGTCCATTATTCTTTAAGCATCTAACAAATACGTTATTATTTTTTTCGGATCCTACATATTAAAGATCAAATTCTATTAGGAACTTTATTTATGTTTCCTTGCATTCTTTTACCATTAGAGCATTCAGCAGAAAAAGAAACAGCCAGGTACTGGGCATTCCGATGTTTCACAACATTTTCCATGTAAGTCCTAAATCCCAGTGGCTGAAATCTACAGTCTAACCCCCTAGGAGCCAATATATATCTATGTAAATAAGACCAAGAAAAAAAAAAAAAAAGAAAGAAAACAAACGCTTTTAAAAAAGAAAAACCGGACGAGGGAGTTCAGTTTATTACCTCCCTCTCGTTACACATTGGGATTTGAACGAGAACCATGGGGTACTCGTAACCTGATCCCTCGACATCATCTGACTTGAATGGATCCCCCTCAATTGTCGGCTTAATCTTCTTGTATTTAATCCAAAAGCAGGCTAAGCTAAGTATCATACGATCTGCAGATTGGATAAGGAATAGAGCTACACAAAACTTAGACAACGCTTGAATTGGTGGTGCAACGTAATCGGCCCGAAACGACAACCAAGTAACATAAACCAAGTGGAGCAATCCCTGGATATCACTAGTCCTCGGAATATGCAAACTGGGATTTTGAAAATAATGCCAACCCTTTAAATATGCAACAACCTCAAAAGCAAGAATTGTTAAGGAAGTCACCAGGAAGACTTTAATGACTGCGAAGAGCAGTTTTCCTTTCCCCAACTTTTCACTAGCCATAGCAACATCTTGCCTAAAGATCAACCTTCTCTTTATGGTTCCAAGCAATGCCCAGAGTAGTGTAGCAATCGAAGCAACACAACCGACAGCACGATGAGCCTTGAGAAGTAAAACCCAAGTCAGTTGCTTTGCATTTTTTCCTCTGCTCTTTTCCACAGGCCTGAATGCAGCATCTGGGCCGTCAATTTCTACCACTGAGTAGTTTGGGTTCTCTATTTTTACTACCACTGGTGTCCCTTTCCTCGTATCCTTTGCCCACCAATTTGAGAAATCGAGTCCTGGAGCCATTTTCTGCACGGTGGGTCTTACTCTTTTACTTCAACAGACAATAAATAGCCAAAATAAACCAGAAACAGAAACAAAATCCCAACAACTATTGTTCAAAACTCAGATCTCAGAAATCAAGTAATGAACAAGACCAATCATATAACCAATTACCCAAAAATAGGAGCCCCAAATCAAAAGGTGAAAGAAGCCAGCCAAAGGGTCTCCATTGTAGGGAAAATGTAGCAAAGGGAGAAGAACCGAAGAAAAAGGAGTGTAGGAGATTGTTTGAAATAGGAAAGGGCAGTCTATAAGTCACACCCATCATGTAAAAACAACATTATGAGGAAAGGTATCTGCAGCTGTAAGAACCCAAACACCATACCATGTGGTTTTTTGTTCTTGTCTAATAATCCAAACAAGCTGACCCCTCCATTTTTAACTTCCCACCCAGAATTTACTGCTGTCTCCGGTTCGGTGCTTATGTTTTAGCTTATTATACATCAGCATAGAATCTGCTAAACCTTCTTAACGAAAGAAGCATTAACTAAATACTTAAATTGGACTTCACTTCATCACCAAAACCACACTCTCCAGTTTGACTAAAAACTAAACAAACACTCTATTATTAGTTGCAAAAAAAAAAAAAAAAAAACTAGAAACAGAAGGTTTCAGATGGTTTCAGATGCTGACCAAATTGTTTATAAAACTGCTGAAAAAAGGGAAGCAAAGAAAGTGGAGAAACTAAGGAGCCAAACATGATCCATCAATTGTAAATTGTAACACAAGTTACATAACTAAAAATCTAGTACTATTAAAGTAGTAGTATAATAAAATACTACTACTACTACATTATTTATCAGAAAGAAATAGTTTTTTACTAAAATTGAAATTTGTAACGCGTAAAGTGGATTTAAATAGAGGTTAAAGAGATAACATTGACATTTGATTTAAAATGATAAAATTAGATAATAGAAACGGAAAAAAAAAAAAAAGGCATGGAAATGTTCATTTAAACCGCAGCATGTAATTGGGTTATACGAGACAAAGGATGAGTAAATTATAGCAAAAAATAACCCAGAATCAAACATTTTACCCCAGAGAGTAACAAAAGAAACTACTGGTACTACAGCCTACAATTTTTTTTTTTTTCAATTCTACCATTAAAACCCCTTATTTTACTACATATATAATTGAACAAGATATCATGTATTTAAATTTTTTTTAATTCATAATTTTTAAATATTAATTTTAATTACATGTCAATCAATTCAAAAAATAATCGACTTAAAAGCTTACAAGTTAATTATTTGTCAATATGGTAAATTACGATAATTTTGTTAATTGTAATAATTAGAAAGAAGAAAAAAAGAAAATCTAGTAAAAAATTTAATAATTCTAAAAGTTCTTAATTGTTGTTTGGTAAAATTAAACTTTTTGACTTTTTGGGAGAAGATAATGGTAATGTTCCACGTCTAATGTCGGTTGTGTGCAATAAGGTTATAAGAATATTGCTTTGTTCTTTAACTAGTCTTGGTATAATTTAATTTTTGTAAATGATAAAGTTAGAAAAAAAAAAAAGAAAAAGACAGTGCTTTGGGCCCTCTCCTTTGTGATTTTTTACTATTGAGTGATGGGCAGTTGCACACTCCCCACTCGGATTTAGGAGGATATGGAATTTGGATGCTTTCAATTTATCAAAACCTTATAATTTGTTTATTTATTCATATCAGATATCTACTTGTTAGTGCTAATCAAGAATGTAGATAAATTTGATTGAATATGTAAAATTAAAATCGCTATCCATTAAGATTTGATCTAATGATTGTGGTTATTTTCATTTAGTAAAAAAAAAAAATTTCAAACCTTCTCTCCTTTGAATTTTTTTATATGTAAAATAAAAAAATAAAATTGTTGTAGTAGAATGATTCCCAAATTAATAAGTACTGAAAATGAGATTTATTTTATCTATATTTATAGTAATAATTTTATATTAAATGCAATAATTAATAATTTTATTCATAATTTTTAATATATTAGAAATGGATGTATGTTACTTTATATAATAATTAATATTTTTAGGGTATTCATTAACAAAATGCATATAATAATGCTAACTTGTTGTGGTCGAATGATTTTTTTTTTTTAGTTTCTTTAATATGTTTGTGCATTGTTTTTTTTTTTTTTTTTGTGTTTGAATTATTTCTAGATCCTTGCATGTGATATATTAGATTGTGCAACCAAATCCAGAAAGATCTTAAATTCAGCTACTATGAGCTGGACATTTGTAGTATAGGGATCGATGTTGGACCGGATTTCGATGATGCTAATCAAGCATATATAATACTAATCTATAGTATCTCAATTCTCATGAACGCAACAACCACATAATTAATCTGCTATTGCTGTTGTTATTACTGCTGCTGCTGCTGTAATTAAAATTTAGAAATCAAGTACAAAAAACGAAACATTCACAATTAAGAAGTACAATTAGTTTTTTTTTTTTTTTTTTTTTTTTTTAGAAAGCAAAGAAATACAGCTGATTTTGTGTCACCGACAAGAATGCATATATGGGATAAAAGCAAGATGCAGGCTAGTATTTCCAGTTTTCCACTCTTTGGCATTTTCTTTTTGTTTATTGATTGATTTATTATTATATATGTAGCTCATATAACATAAAAAGAAATAATCATACATTAAAAAACATAAAAAAAAATAATAATTAGTTAAAGGTTAAAACTACGGGCCATAAATTCGTGTCTTGATTGATTTATTATATATAGTTTCAATTCCCATTTCTTAGTCTTTGATAAGAGAGTGATGATAGGAAATTGATCTAACTAATATGTCCGGTCGTTGGCTACACGACTTGATTTCTCTAGGTATGACCATCTTAATTGAATTTGTTGTTGCAGAAAATCACATTAATCATGCATCAAATATGAAAAACATTTACTAGTGTAGGAAATACATACATATGAATATAGACATTTCAAATCCACAAGACTGCTACAATATATATTATGCACACCAAGAATTTGATGTTTCGGGCCGCAATTCATGAAACAATATGTAGATGGAATTTCATGCAAATGTAGATTTGAGAGGTATGGAAATTGATTTCCAAATGACGTGAAAAGAGATACCTCGCCTAGTGATCATGGAAATTGATATACTTTTTAATATAAAATCCATAAAATAATAAATATCGCTAATTATTTTTTAAAATATATATTGTTGATTCAATCCATAAAATAATATTGATTAATATTTTGTACATGTAAAAGTCAAATTGATGTTAGGATAAATATAACTAAAAATATCCTCTCTTTCTTTCTTTTTTAGTCTCTCGTTCTATAAATTTCACATTCCAAAGTTCACATCAACCAAAACTATAAAAAAGGGTAGTGGCTATCAAGTGCTCCGTAGGATGGAGGAATTTCCTTTTTGAGATGGTTAAGCATTGAATTTGGAAGCAAAGAATGATGCAAATTAAGAGAGAGAAATTGAATTGGAATCAAAGAAGACAGCCACACCCACGCAATACCCTACTTGCTATATGTTAAATAACATCTCCATCTCATTTTCTTTTCTTTTTTTTTGTCGGTCGAAATTCATAAATCAAGAGAACTAGCTAGCTAGCTAGCTAGGTTGTGATTTTAATTTGGACATCTCTATTAAAAACCCCTCTTTATAACTACAACTTTAAACTTATTTAAAATTTTGGTTGATGGATCAATCACCTCCTCTCTACCAAACTATTATGTATGAGATGAGATAAATGAAAGTCTCAACTTGATCACTTTTTCATCTAACGATTATATATTCAAATTAAAATTTTTAATTAAAGGCGTTTTATATGCGTAATTCAATGTAAAATTCATTCATTTTTTAAAAAAAAAATCTTATTTCTATAATTCTCGTCACTGATTATCTAAACAATATATATATATATAATTGTAATCTTGTCGATCTAAATATTTAGTTGTATCTACAGTAGGCCTTGATCAAGCAATTTAAGCCAAACATTGAAGGACAAAATGCGTCAATCTAATTGAAAATATACACATATTAGTTGTAGTAAATAAACATTATTTTTGGGTCACTTTTTGCGATAAAACCAAACGTTTAGAAAGCGACACCAAAAATAAAATGGTAGATTGAGTTATTTGACACAAGAAACTTAAGGATCCATGCATGCCTGCATGTTTGTTATACTGAGAAAATTGTCAGTGAAGCAGAGCAGTAAACTGAAGCCCTAAAGGTGTATGGAACGTTTATCCTTGTGGGCTAATCTTCCTTCCTAAAATCAGGATAACATATACATGTGCAGTTCCAGCTAAAGTAGTACTTCCGACTATAATAGTTCATTAAAGGAGTAGTACTACAATTATTGGGGTTGATGCCCTTCCTCCATGGCTACAATTTTCTTCTCAAATATATCTAGATTTTTTCCTTGTTTAGGACGGTACTTGCCATGCCTGCTGCCACCACTAGTTTGGAGTTTCAGTTGAATTACCTTCATTTTTTAGAAAATTATTCCTAATTTTTAAAATCTTCTTGTTGTTATCTTGAAAAGTACTTTTCACCATCCATGGAGATGTGCGATGGTCCCGTTTTATCAATATAAATGTATCATTCATAGACAATGTTCACTCTACATCCCCTAAATTAATTACTCTTCTTTGCCCCTCTTGTATTGTAAAGGTGAAGCTGCTCAAAGAATGATATAGATGGATACACAGTCCTCAAATAATCACTTGATGAATGGCACACACGATGGGAAACTTTAAAAAGAAACCAATGCAGAATCCTTCAGAGTCTGGTTTATTTTCGATGAGCTTCAAGATCCAACATCAGTTTCTGTGGTTTATTCTTCTTTTGCTGATATTTGGCATACGAATACCACACTCCACCAGCCGTGTTAACAATCAATCCGGTGACGTTCAAAGCATGTACTTGCACACCACCGAGTAAAACAAAACCAAGTGTCTGAGAAGAAGTGAAAAAAGAAAAACTTCAGTCCTCATGCAATCTAAAATTTTACATTTGTAAAGAAGATTTGAGGCATGTTGCGTCCAGTTCCAGGAAGACAGGAAGAAAAGGTGGGATTTAAAATCCTTGAACAATAGTTTTGAAAAGAAATCTGATCCAAATATCCACCCTTTCATCCCTTAACTTCTTAATCTTATGCAGCAAAGTTACTTACCGTGGACCCTACACCTTTCAGTACTCCAACAATGGTTGTAGTCAGAGCAGAGTTAACTATGGTACACAAAAACATGGTGTAGTTAAGAGCAATGCCCATTACCAACGAAAGAAGTAGGATCACCAAAAATGAGAAAGAATTGCTCTGCAAACAAATACTATTGATGTTATAAATCAAACTTATGAAACAAATTCAAAAAGGATGAATTCACAAATTTGACAATCAAATATTTCCCCTAGCTCGGATTCAACTAAGTGCAATATTTAATTTTATCTGGTAATATGATAATGAAACGAATTTGTTCTGACATCCTCTAGAAAAGATGGGGGATAAAGCTCCATAGAACATAAACTAGTAAAATGAAGAGAGGAAGGTAGGGAGGATGGAAAACTACCTTACGGTCAATGTGCAACCACAATAGAGAATACAAGCAGCAATACATCAAAATTCATAAACCGTCCTAATGGAAATTGAAGTGGTTTTTAACAAAAACAAAAGTGAATAAACGAAATGAAGTGCCAAGATGAAACTTATATAAATACAAGGAACTCTGAACACCAAGGGTGTAGAATGTTTATGCAATCTAAAGCATCTTGCTTTTCTTGATAGGTTAAGAGCCTTAATCGACTCTAATCTCATCTAAACTATAGGTATTAAGAAGGTCTTGAGGCCACATGTATTGGAAATTTTATATGAATAATTATCCTCATACACACTTGTATGTTTATATATTCTAGCAAATAAAAAAAATTGCCTTGTACAAAAAAAAATGGCTTCGTGTAGTGCCTTTGATTCAGGCCTAACCATATGGAAGTGTCACTGCATTCTAACACAATCACAAATGAATTACAATTTAAAGAATATGGGCAAAGATCCAAACCTTTGCAAATAATAATGACAAAGAATTTGGGAACTCTCCTGTTGCTATGATGAGAAACAGCAAAAATGGAAGAGAAAGAAAACTGTTATAGAACATTATCTCTACTGAAGAAAGCCCATCCTCTACACCAGACTTCTCTACCAACACAAGGTACATGGTCTGCATTTTAGATTAAACTCCAATATGAGAAAGCAAACTCTATGCAGGGCACTAATGGTGAACCTCAAATTGCAATGCACATTCATAAGCAGAGATATATTTAAGATCCAACCTGGAAAAACACAGAAGTTAGGGCCATGCTGTATCCGAAAAGGTCAAAAGAAAAATCTCCCATTGCAGCTACAATAACTCCAGCACCAATCAAAAGTACTGAAAGAGTCACCTGAAACTTGATAAAGAAGCAAGTAATGGCTGAGAATCTTCAAAATCAACTTCAATATATTTGATATGATAAACATTCTGTTGGGCATAAACAAATGTACAAGAAAGCCCTTCAAAAGGACAATGGTTGCAAATCTAAATTCTAACCACCAGCTTCCTTTACCAAATATGTCTTCTAGGCTCGATAAACATAGAGCAATTCAGCAATGGCTAAGTTAATAATATTCAGGACTTGGGAACTATAAGAAACCAGAGAATCTGAGGTGAAAAAGGAATGATAAATTTAGAATGATTTGAGACAGAGTACCATGTGTAGTAACTGAAAAACAAAAATTAACAAGAAATATATGGGGCCATAAAGAAAAAATTTGAGCTTCTTACAAAGTATGGGAAAACAAACCCCTTGAATATGAGACAACAGAATTATGAATTCATTGACAATGAAACAAATTATCAGAAGGTCAAGTGTCTTTGAAACCTTTAGTTCAGCTCTGATTTTGTTGAGGCAAAGAGGGCAGTTGATGATATATGATAAACATCATGCAATGCGAACCGTCTTAATAGTTGAATTGTAAAATAGCACAAATATTATATTTTGTAAGCAATGCACATTATTAATCGAAAGCAATTGACGCAATATTGTGGTATAAACTTCAATTAATACCCTTAACAATCCCTATAAGAGAACCAAGCTTAAGAGGCAAATGCAAAATCACATCAACAGGAGACCAATATACGTAGGAATGACAACACAAACCTGAGTTGTAGGCTTTTCCTTTCCAGAAAAGAAACCAGCAATGAGCACAGAAAGTGGTGTGAGCCTCTTTATAGCAATATACATAGGAATATTAACGCCTTTCAAGCTTGCAAGAGCAAATGCCACATTTGCATTGTAAAATAGAGAAACAGGGAGAAGCCTTTTAGCTGTGGTAATATCAATCCCTTTAGCTTTTGTGTAACCCATTTGCCGGCCAAAGTGAATGAGCAAGGCAGTTGCAAATTGCTAACACAATCATAGTACCAAATAAATTCCTTTTTGATAAATTGAAATTTTACATAGCCCATTTTTTTTACAGGAAAAAAAAAAAAAGCAATACCTGCACGGTAAGCAGGGTCATGGAGTGTGCATACTGCATAAGAATTGCTTTATTGATAAAAACCATAGCCATCGAAGCGATCCCATACGACAAGGCTGAGAACAAACTACATTGCAAACAGAGCTTCAGCTTTCTGATTTGATTTAATAATGCTTGTTCACTTCCTCTATTATTTGCCTCAAAGTTTCTCTCTCTCTCTCTCTCTCTTAAAAAAAGGAAAAAAGAAAAAAAGGGAAGAACAGTAATTGGTGGGCAAAATAAATGGTACTCTAACAGGCAAAATCATCTTGGTGTCAGAACAAGTACAAAGGCAAAATTAACCTTAAAAGAGAACTGCTTTCTGCATCGCTGCGAGTGTCCATGACTGAAAGAGATCCGAGATTTCCCACGTTTGCAAAATAAAAACAATTTGACCAGCACCCAATCCAAATCTAATCACATAGCCAAATCAACAGATTCCAAATCCCACCTCAAAAATTTTAGTACTAAAAATAAAAAAACCTGCAAATCAAAGAACAATTGGGCCTGTGAAGCTAACTCAAATCGGCGGCAAAAAAGAAAAACCAAAATAGAAATGGGAATCAACGTATAAATCGGAAAGCAAATCACCTGATAGCAGAAAGGATTGAATTACATAGTCACCGGAGGGGGTTTTTTGTTTGTTTGAAAGGAAGAGTAATGTTGGATCGAGTGAAAAGGGGCTTCGAAGGGTTGATGGAGATGGTTAACAACTGTAGTTAGGAGTGTGGAGATTGGATATCCAATAATAAAGTAATATATAATAAACCGTCAAGCAAGGGGCAACAAAAAAAAAAGGGAAAAATAAGGGAGATTTGGTTTAGAATGAACGGGTGGACTGAGAGAAAATGGGATTGGGAACAAAGACATCGCCATCAGGATCACCTGGGATGCTCCCTCCCCTGCTTGGATCCATTGCATCACTTAATGGAGCTTTGGTTTTTTCGTTGTTGTTCCTTTCAGCTAGTAATAAATATGTTTCGTTGGCTCGATCTCATATGTATTCCACTTGCAATGGACCATGTAAAATATAAAACCTTATCCCTACGCTGCCTCCTGACAACAAATTAAAAGCTAGACTGATACTACAATTAGCTAATGCTAATATTTTTTTTAATTAATAAGTAGTTATTTTAATAGTTTAAAATTCTTTTTTTATAAAAAAATCTTAAATTCAAGTTTTACAATCATTTATTGGAGTCATCTTAAATACATAATTTATAATTATTTATCTTAAATTATCAAATATAACATATCTTATTTTGATCTAAAAGATTAAATAATTTATCTACTTTCGAATTTTTTCTTACTAAAAAAAATACTATTTATTTTTTTGGTAATGGATACACTAATACTATTACTATGAATCAGGTGTAGAATTTATGAGGCTAATGTATAATAATGTTACTGCTACAACTTACTTAGAGACCAGATTATACATCAAGACTGATTATGGAATAAAGCAAAACAACATGCCCCTGCGTTTCACACTCCACATAGTTAACAAAGTTCAGTGTTCGTTAAGAATCATGACATTGGGTGTTCTTAGAACCCTTCCAAATTCCTTTTCACTTGAAGATCGGCTCGGTATGCCTTTGTGATCTGGCAATCTACCTTAATGCAGTTGGCCTTGCGTTGTCAGAAGCCTTTGTTATAGTTAGTAAATAAAGTAATAGTTAATGCCCACTGAAAAGCACCAAATCTACCAACTGTCAACGCCTTCCTCCCAAGCCCTGCTCTGCATATCCGGCTTGTAAATTCCCAAGTGCTTTTTTTTTCTTTTTTTTTTTCTCGACAACCATTGGCACGGCTTATTCCGTCCGTGGTGCAGGTGTTCCTTGGTCCTGGTGTTCAACCTGATTAGGTTTGGAGGACTTGGATTGGAGTGAGGCGTGGAATCCTTCGAAGGTCTCTTCATAGTTTCTACACATTGGAAAAGCAACTCGTGCTTGAGACATCGAGCCGAGGGCTTTAAGAGGCGAGTGCAAAATAGCATAAAAGCTAAGCTGTGTTCCGGCTTGTGCACATACTTCAACATCCAAAAATAACAGTGTTAATGTGTTACTATTGACAAAGTTAACTAGTTCGTTACAAGTGAAATGGCACAGGCTATTGCCAAAGTTGAACACATCGAATAATAGCTCAAATATTTTGCAACACATGTCAGGAGTAGTGGCGGCACAAGACTACCAAATAATTCAAGAGCTAAGCTAATGTTATTAGCAAAGGAATTCCTGCTAATAATTGTAAACATATTCTTCCATTATGTCAACCTAAAATGATTATGGAGTGTTTTCCTTCACCAGTGTAAAATAAAATATTTATCCCCTGATAAGGGTACTTTTAATCTTATTTCCTTAAATGGGATATTTTATTCCATGTCATTTATTTTTTTTCAAAATGATTAAAGTAACCGAAACAGTAAAAAGTCACTAAGGGGCTTCCAGTTCTGAGATCACAATCGGTTTACACGCCTACCAAACTTCTAGAAATGCTAATGATAATCTAAGAGTAAAAGAACATACAAGGATGATCCATGGGATGGATAACAGGTTAACCACTACAATAAGATTAGGAAAAAGAGTGTTATGTGGTGGGACTTAGGAGGCAACAGCAAAGAACAAAATAGAAAATGTTGGGTCGTTGGACCATACAAGGAGGAGAGATGATGATGGGAAAAAGGAAACATGGAGAGCATGGAGTAGTGGATATGGACATTGATAACACTGCCAAAAAGGAGTAAGCAGGAGGATGAAAGTTAAACAAGCTTTATTTTTGGAATAGTTAAGGAGCAGTGGAAATTTTTGCAAAGCCACCATGGCTCTGAAAATTCCTTTGTCTCTGTGCTCCCCAGCTACTCTCTTTGTGAAAAAAAAAAAAAAAAGTTGTTCACCTTCTGGTTTAAGAATGAAGGGTTAAAGGAAGAAAAGTGAGGGCCATGCATATCTTCCTGAACAGTCAATTCCTGATCAACATATGCCTTATTTTGGGGTTTATTGTCAGTTTATCTTGGATCCAGATCAAAAGAGAGTTCTAGTTGATTGCACGGATAATACTTGGGGAGAAGGGGAACAATGGGAATTTTTTTTCAACGGGGATTGAAAAATAAATAACATGACATTAAGTATCCTATTTAGAGAAATTAGATTAGAAGTACCCTTATTACAGAGTAAGGATTTTATTTTACTCTAGGTAAGGAAAAAGCTAAATGATTATGGGCCATCTAAAATTGGTACAACAGAATCTAAGATTTCTGTAAATAATGAAACCCCAGATCAGATAAATAACCCAACTTCATCCATTTCTTTTAATGATGGGAGGATGATCAAAAAATATGAACAAAATAATTAGCCGGAACATGCAGCCCATTATTGCGAACTGCCATCTGCTATTTCAGCTCTCTTGACCCCATTCCCTCCCTCAAGTTCTGAACCGTGCAAGGACAATTCACGTTTCAAACCAGGGGTTCTGGCTGGAGATGTGTCATCTGAATCTTCCATTACATAATTAATTGCTACTTGCAAATCTTGCTCACAGCTTTTTATGTCTTTTGAAACCGATAAATATTGCTTTGCTTCAACCATCTTCACACTTTCTGCTTCCATTACAGCTTCAGAAGTGGCTGCAACAAACAGATCTTTATCAGAGCTGGAAACCTCCTTTATATCAGAAGAACATGGCAGACTACTACTCCGCTCCACATTCACTGGATTTTCTCTCACAGCTATAGAATGAACCTTATCCATATCTTCACCATTTATTCTAGTAGCTTCTGAATCAATCTGGAAACATGATTCGTTTTCATAAAAGGAAACCTCCTTATAAAGAGATGAATTTGACTTGAACTTAACCACATCAACATCCTCATGTCCATTAACAGCACAAGTATTTATTCCAGTAGATGACTCAACTTCATGTCTAGGAATTTCAGAATGCAATCGACCGTTGAATGACAGGGACACAGAACAACCAGGAGAATTACCAGACTCTTTTCCAGCTACACTTGCAATTTGATCCTTTGGACAACGCTCTTCTTCAGCTTTCATTGATTTCTGTTCATCCTTCCCCTGAGTTCCAGAGGTTCTAAGACATGATGGGCGTGCAGAAACCCTGCACACAAACAGGAAAACAGGACCCCTATAAGGTCACCGATATAAAACACCTGCAAAGATATTAAAAGAAAGAGGAATTCCTCTCAAAGTATTTATTCATTTCTTCGCAGGGCCAAAGAACAGGACAAGAATATTCATATGCAATGTCTTACTTGGTCCCATAAATGCACCCACATGAGATGCATGTTTTAACAACAAAAAATAAAAAATAAAAAATCCTAGGGATCTGTGTAAAAACCAAAAACCATCTACGGCTCTGTTTTACCTATTGAGCATACCATAATATATTCATGACAAAACAAAGGATCAGAATCCATAAATATTCAGTTACAGGTACTGAATGACAAAAAGGATAAACAGGAGTTAAAATCTCATAATAACTGCAATGTTATCTCAACACGTTAATTCACATCAAACCTTTGAGATTTATGGGGCAGAACCTATATACTTTTTCTGATTAGTTAGTGACAAACTCCTGTAATTTTTTATAACTTGAATGGGCACTCTAGCTATCAATTTCAGGTTACAAGTCCTTTACAAAATAATCCATGGATGTAAAGTAGATTAAAGCTTTAAAGCAGGAGAAAGGGAAAGAGATAACAGGTTTTAAGTGCCAGTGCTTGTCGAGGGAGGATAAAGGCACCTGCTATATAAAAGCATATATGCTCCCTGAGAAAGTACGTCTTCCAATTCAACCCTCATAACCTGGAAAAAGAGGCAGAACAGTTTGAGAAAAAAATCTGAGAATTCAAATGCACTAGAAAATTTTTTTTGTCTACCCCATCTTCTAATGATGATTGAATGGGGATGACAGAGGGCTTGGCATAAAGAAAATTCTGCAGAGAGATTCTTTTATTAGGCACGACACTCACAATCAGAGAAGGAAATGGGTGGTAAATGCGCATGTGTGTGTGTGTGTGTGAGAGAGAGAGAGAGAGAGAGAAAGAGAATACCTTATGGTCATCAATCAAATACCAGTTTCCACAGAAATCTTTGGTGTAGCAAATATAATGACCAAAAAAGGATGCATTCAGCATATCAACATGGACAACAACTGCATAAAGTTTGTATAGATTGGTATCATCTCCATCTTCACTCATGTAAGGGTTAAGATCCAATGTTTCAGGAAAAATAACTCTTTTGTTGAGTTTTCCAAATCGACCACTCTGCAAATATTTTCAACAGAAATTTCATATATCAAAAGATAAAGCTTCAATGATCCGATTTAACAGCAAAAGGAAAAGACAACAAGCATGCACTGCCATGTCGATGAATGGCAACAAAATACACATGTATTATGGATGTATGTAAGACCTGAAATCTTTTTAAGGCAATGGTAAGAATGTTAGGAGCCCATCGTATAGTAAGGCGCTTCCATGCCTTGACATAGTCATTGCAGCTGAAAAGAGGAATAAAATACCATAATCAACACTAGATCCAAAACTAGGATGAAACAAATAGTTAAACACCAAAGTACAATAAAAATATATAAAATTTAGGTAAAATTCATTGCTGGATAATTTAGAATCATGCAAACTAAATTAGATACTATTTGAGACCAAGTGGAGGAGAAGCAATCATACCCGTCACATTTGTACATATTTTCCCCATGAAGCCACTCTTTAACAGTGAACTGATCAAGGCATTCCTCCAATGATGAAGCATCTCCATGAATTTCAACAGTTAAATCCATCATATTTTCATATTGATTTGAAATCTTATTGCAATTTGTGCAAATCACCTAAAAGGTTTTAACATGGTGATAAAGTATTAGGCGTCCTAGTACAAACTTAAACATTGAAAAACACGAAGCAAGGTGATTTAGATAAAAGATTAAGGCAAAATGAACTGAAATCACCTTTATTTAATCAGATGTTCAACTACTTAACAAATGTTCACTTAGTTAAGGGGCAACACTCTTATTTACTATGAGTTTCTAATTCATATAGATACTCTACTTTGGGAAACAGCTATATTAAGAAGCAAATTGAAAAACACAAAAATTTCCAGAACATTGTTTACTACTAGAACCCATAGATACTGTCTATTTATCAATGGTGAATCACCACAGTTTTAATAAAAAAAAGGAATGTCAATTATTCTAAATCAATAAGATGCATCACCTGAGATTGCAGATGACCACCAAATATATGCTGAATAAGGGTTGTCTCTTGAGAGACACGATCAACAGCTTTTTCTCCACCAAATTCATCTAGGCAAACAGATTGCATAGTATCAATAGCGAACCTGCAAAAAAAAGACAACAAATATTACAAATAAATCTAGAAATCCACAATTCCCCCAAGTTAATTTCAAGAAGTTGCCAAAAGAAAACACAATCAAATACAAGTGATACTAACCTCATGAATTCATGAGCATCCTCCTGTCTTCCATAACCAAGGTTACCTCCAATATTAGGCAACCTAGAGAGAATGTTAATTGGAGAAAATGGATGTGGATTTTGGCTTGATCTTTCAACGTGAATTTGAAATTCGCACAGAAAGCACCAATCATTACGTTTGCCTAGAAAATAGAAATAATAATCATAAAGGTCAGATGCTGTTCAAGAACCTAGAGATGAAAACCATAGCTGTTCTAGTTTCTCAATTTACATTCTTTCCTGTGGCCTTTCTCCAACAAGTAAGCAACAAGTGGACGAGTGGATACAAGGCACTGCAGAACCACATTGGCAAAGCAACTGCAGAAAAAGGACAAACAGGAATAAATAAATAAATATTTGAAAAAGGAACACAGACTTATCTTTCTAATCAGAAGTTCTAACAAATAAAAAAAAAGTTAAAAAGAAAAAGAACATAAACATGGTAAACATGAACCTGTTTCCACAATTTAAGAGTCCACACGGAGGGAATCCAGGTTTCTCCCAGTTGAAAAGTTTTACAAACTCATCATATGGGAAAAGAACCTGATAAAAAATAGACAATGAATTTCAAATTTACTTCTATTGGTTATAAAAAGGGTCAAAAGATTCACCTTTCTTGGCTTCTTGATAATCTTAGAGGTTCCACTGGCAGGAACCAGAGCAACTCCTGAAAAAAGTTTTATGCTTGCAGTTTGTGCCGAATTTTCTTTGCACTTTGTCTTATGCCCGGCATTCCAGTGCAACTTTTGGCAAGCTGAGGAGCTGAAAAAAGAAGGCAAACCTAGTAAGATCAGGCGTTCAAATAATAGATGTCCTTATGTAACCGACAGTACATTAACTAAAAGGTTAGTAAATCATTGTTCACTAGCATGCTAACCAAGCATTCTTTGTTTTCTTGAATTGGACACCAAATGAAAATTTTAAAGTCAAGGAGCCATTGAAACTAAGAGGCTTTTGTTAAATCATGCAAACAAGACTAACAATGTGGCATTTTTCTGTATAATTGATTGATGGAGTGATCAAAATTTCAACACTGAACTTGCTGGGCTTCTAATTTATTGACATTATCAGCGTTGAACAACTCCGGACTCAACCTAGATTAAGCACAACAGTTCTTTTATAGGGGAAAATCAAACAAAATTACTTATAAAGAGAGAGAGAGAGGTAAATTAAGAAAAATAAAACATACATCTTAAATAGATAAAAACAAAAAAATTCAATCATAAGATAAATTTTGGAAAGCAGCTAATCACTAGAAAGATTAAACGAGAATTAATAACATAAACAAAAAAAGAAACTTTTTTTTTTTGGTAAGCAATCATGAAAAACAGTAATAACCGCCGCAAGAGCCAAACAAGGAGGAGGATCGCACAAAAGAAATGCAAACGTACCAATAACGAACAGATTTGCAACGCGAGCACTTCTTGGAGGCGGTATTGGAGCAAACTGCACAAGGAGAGAGGTCGGGGTCCACGGGGATGGAAGACATTGTTTGGTCACGGTCGAAATTAGCGTCGACTTCGAAGTATTTCGACGCCGTATTCTTGAGCAAGTGAAGAGCCCCCAATGCGAATATAAATAGCGTAAATATGAATTGCAGGAACCAATTTAGATCCAACGTTAATCCAACGACATGCATCTACACAGCCTCCTCGATCCCGATTCTAGGGTTTTTCTTCATCGATTTTCCTTTTGGCCCCACTCTCCCTCACACTTTCCCCCTTCACCAATTTTATGAAATTCTTTTTAATTTTTAATTACTCATACTCTCAAGCCCCCAAAATACAAAATTAGTAAAACCTTCTTTATTTTAATTATAATAAAAAAGAAAAAAGAAAAAGAAGGAACAATTAGCAGGACTGGTGATTTACGTCTATTAGTTTCTAAAAAGAAGTGGCGTGAGGACTTCTGGCTATGCAGAGGAATATTATTTTTTACTTAACAGAAACAAAGTCGTCACTCACGCAACAGAGCCTGCGAGGAAGAGTGAGGCCCTTGGCCCTGACCTTCTTAATTAATGTTTGATGGGAGTTACATAGTTGAATTTGGATCAAATTGATTTAATTTTTTTTACTATTATATAATATTAAGAAAATTTAAAATTTGAATTTAAATTTTTATTCGATTTTAATTGAATTAAATTAAATTTTATTTATTTATTTATTTATTTTTAATTTTTATATATTATTTTAATATAAAATTTTAATATATTAAAAAAGATTTTAATATTAAGAAAATTTAAAAATTGAAGTTAAATTTTTATTCAATTTTAATTGAATTAAATTAAATTTTATTTGTTTATTTATTAATTTTAATTTTTATATATTATTTTAATATATTAAAAATATTTTAATATAAAATTATTATTTTATTTTTAAAAATATATATTATATATTAAAAAATATATAATTCGATTTAATTTTTTATTTTTTATTTAAAATTCCATCTAAACTTAATATATATTTATATTACTATTCAAATAAAAAAATCGGTTTAAATCGATTTTATTTTATTTTTAGCCGTTAATGCCAAGTTCCACGCCGCTTTTTGAGCCTTGGCCCTGGGCAGTTGGCCCTTGGCTTGTTAAGGTTGAGCCTTAAGGGGGCAAAATAAAGAATAAAAAACTTTCTTACTATTACATATAAAACGAAATCTTTTTAGCCTCACTATATATATATATATATATATATAAATCTTTTTAAATAATGCAGTAATAAGTGCTAATTAGTTAAAGAGCTTCATGTGTTTAAAATTTAGCTTAACTCAAATTCAATATTTTTCTTTTTTTTTTCAATAATTTCTAAAAATAGATATGTATCATAAAAATAAGATTTAAGGGTCATATATGAAAAATATAATTTTTTATTAATAATATGTAATTTGTTAATAAATATCAAAAATTTAATTTTAATTATAAAAAATCAAAATTTCATAGTTTTAAATGTCAAATCAAATTTATAAAATTTTCAATTAAATATTTGAATATTGATAAAATTTAAAAATAAATTGATAAGACAATACAAATACACTGAAATAATTACTAATAATAGTACTTTATTAATTATTAAATAATAAAATACGATTGTAAATTTTAAATTATTAAACGATAATTGGACTCTGCTCTAACTTTTAGGGAATAAAAAACATTCTATAACTTTAGAATGTTGAGTTATTTTTAGTGGAAAGCCAACATTATCTCGATAATCTTAGTCATCTATGTTTGCACTAAATATCGCATAAAAACTTGATCATGGGATGGAGAAGTGCCAAAATGACTTTGGACTCTTTTAACCTTTTAAGGAGCAAACGATTTAGATTTATATCGATTAATATCATTTTTTCTTATGGTGAGATCATGCCTTACTCCATGCTTATATTAAATTGCATTCATTGCAATGTCTATAAGTTTGACTATATGTTTGTCAAATTAAATCATAAATATCTCATTAATTATCATGAAACAATTGTCTTAATGCTGCTGTTGTTAGTAGCTGAGATTTTTAACAACTTAGTGCAACAGCTGACAGCAGAAAAAACTGATACAACATAATAATAGCTTTTATTATTTTCCCACTAAAAAAAAAAAAATAAAGGCAGCCGATTCCAATACCCTTTATATATCGTTTCCTTTTAGTCAACAAAGCGATTCTTCAAATACTTCAATAGTTACTTGGAATATTCTTATAAAGATTATTGTGATAATTGCCAGAACAGTTTTCCTCGCACAGAATATTCTTGGAATTGAAAATAGGTAAAGAAAATACCGTGCAATTCTTGTCGAGCCAGACCAAGGCTAGCAAATAGAAACAACAACAAGACCACAACTCGTGGGCTTCACTATCACCTAATGACATATTGACCCGACCCAGAGAAAAAACATCTGGGCTTGGTTATATGACAATCCTGAAGTTGAGTAATGAAACTTCTCTCTGCGTTCCCACAAACAAAGCTCTAAATTATATTTGAGGAGATAAGATATGAAAATAATCAAATAAAAAATAAAGATAATATGATTAAAATTTTTAAAAAATTATAAATAAATTTAATAAAATAAAAAATTATAATTTATATTTATGTGTCAATATAAATTATGACATAACTTTTATATAAAATATAATATTTTATATGATACGATTAAATAAATTTTTCGTGGCCTGGTTAAAGGGAGGAGGGCAAATTGAAAAATAGGGGAGGTTGGGATTTCTGATGCACAAGTTAAATGCATTTGCAAGAAAATGTCTTTTTATTGGCCTTTTGGTTTGTTTAATTACAGACGTTTTGGCAGAGGCATTGACCAAAATATTGTTTTTCTAACACTCTAATTAGGTTTTATTTATTCGGTAGGACAATTAAAATCAGGATAAAATGTAACCGACCCACTTTCATGTGTCAAGTGCTCACATGGCTACCACATGTCTAACAGTAATACTAATATCCTTCTTGGGAACCAGCTATATTTGATCTCAGGCACCTAGCAACAGCCTGTTTTTGTCTCAGATACAATTGAAACATTGAAAGGAGACGTGAACATGCACCCAGCAAATTCTTTCCTAGGAGAATTACCAAGTTTTGTAGTTTTACAAGAGAAAGTGTTGGAAAGTTGGACCAAAAGCCCGAAAATAACAAAAAAAAAAAAAATCATATTGTCAAAATTCTAATCATCATGGATCTAATTAACTAATTGTATTTAAAAAATGTCAAAGTTAATAATTATACGATCTGTTAATAAAATATTAATATTTTTAATTTTAATGATGTAAATTTAATTCATAATAACCGAAAACCTCAAACACAAAAGAAAAACAATCTAGTTTAGTTTATGGAAATCAAAGTTATTAAAGTTGTTTAAGAGTCGGTCACTTGGGTTTGAAGAAACAACGGAGGAATTAAACTTTGCTATGTTTCCTCATATGTGTTGCTGAAGCTTTGAATTTCGTAAAAGCAGCCCACTCCATTGCCTTCTAAGCATCCACCCAAGTCCGAAGCTATCATTTGGACACATTTTCTTAAGTGTATCGGAAGTTTTAAAGCCAAAATATGAATTATAATAATAAAATACAAAGAAATCACATGTGGAAGACACTAATATCGTTCTGGGTGTAATAATTGGTAACACCCAAACCTAATTAATTTGGTTCAGGGAACCTGCTTAATTTTGTTTTTCATTTTAGAATTGTTTCATATGAAAAGGGGAAGGTACCAATAATTGATGGAAAAGATGAGAAGAGCACAAAGTCACAAAACGTTCTCCATTTTCCATCCACATTGCTCCATTACATTTTATTTTATAATAGATTTTCAGATTGATAGTTACAGTGTTAGAAGTACTATTTCTTTTTGTTGCATTATGGAGGGGGACATCCTCTTTTTTTGTCTATAATAATCCAATAGTAGAACCCAATTCAAAACAAGCATTTCCTTGAAAGCAAGACAAGCTTTTATTTAGACCTAATTCTTTTCCCTCGTATAAAGAAAGAGATGATGAAAAATGCCTATGGCTCCATGAATGTTTTTGACAAGGATGTTTGTGCTTAGGTCGTCACTCATCTTTTTGCAAAGGCTCTGTATTTGTACATGGGGAAGGGGAAAATTACTTTGAATAAAATGACAATGACATGCAACTTATTTGTCTCGTCAAAACCAATCCAACAAGGAGAGGCGCTAGGATTATGGCCGTAGGCAAGAAAACCCGGAGTGGTGTTGCCCATTAAAGCCATTTGATACACTTATCGAAGTCGATTATAATGCCCCAAAGCAAAGGATTAGGTTATATAGATATATCAATTCATCGCTTATGATTTGACATAAAGATCAGCTGACATGTTTTTTCTTGACTTTCATTTGCTGTTTTGGTTCGCATGTACACGTCTTAGTTGTTAGAAAATTTTTTTTTAAATTTATTCGTTTGATAAAATATTATATAAAAATTTATTGTTTATATGCAAAGTATTTTTATTAATTTTTAAAAAAATTCATATAATATCATAATTGTATTGTAACTGGATTATAATTTTTAATGTTAAAGTTAATTATATAATTATATAATATTTTATTTGTAGATGTGAATTTTAAAAGTTATCAAGATATTTTTTTAAACAAAATTAAAAAAATAAAAATAAATTGAGAAGTGAAAATGTTAACGTAACGTAACACATAATAAATTTGAGACTGACATAACAAAATAAGTAATAAATTCAAAAATGGCATAATGAAACACATGACAAGTAGTAAATTCCGAGATGCTATGACGGAATAAGTGGCAAGTAGGAAATGCAGAGATATTGTAATGAAATACTAACAGATTTAGATATGTAGAAGCAGGGTTTGGACATAAACAAAAAGAAGATGCTATGACATCATGTTAGAAAATAAGTGATTTTGAATCCATTAATTTGAGAAAAATACTATATATAGATGTTATATTTATATACAAAAGATTCTCGTTAATTAAGAAAGGAATCTCATCATAATGTTTAATATTATTTTAATTATAAAATTATAATCCTTAATATTATATTTAAATACGTAATTATGTTACATCTAAATCAATCAATTAATAACTGAAATTCAATTAATGCATTAAGATCCCCAAATTATCAAGATAAAGCATGCCTAAATAAAGACATCATTTATTCTAAGAAAATGACTCGTCACTTATCTAAAAAAATCACTTCCAAACTAACAAATGGGCCACCAATTTACCCTATATCATTAAATGTCACATTAAAATTATTAAATATAATTCGTACTTATTTAAAATTATTAAATATATTTTTTATCCGTTCACATAAATCTTCTCAAGCTCTACACAAACATTTCTCGACTGTCTTTATCTACATAGAAGGTGAAAAAAACCTAGGTACACAAGATAACCGAGAAGGACTCTCTTTCTTTGGAGGACACACTAAACCATTTTTCCATTTGCCTGGTCTTGTTCCGAAAAACCCACCTCAAGTAACATACTAACTTA